TTTTGGGGAACATGTGATATTTTTATATACTCATATAATGTGTAATCATCAAATTAGGAGATTGGGATATCTATCACCTGAAACATTTATCTTTTCTTTATGCTGGGAACATTAGAATTATTCTCTTTTAGCTATTTTGAAATATACAATAGATTATGGTTTACTATAGTCCCTCTAATGATTTATCAAACAATAGGTCTTATTTCTTCTATCTAACCATATTGTTGTACCCATTAATCAACATCTCATCAACTCCACTCCGTCCTCCCATTCCTGGGTCCTGGTAACCACCAATCTACTCTAAGGATGCATGTTATTCTTGTGACTTACCATGGTAGTTACAGGTTTTGTTTCCAAGACAAGAGCTAAGTGGAAAAGCTCCAACCCCTTCAGAGGTTGGAACAGGACACAAATACCTGCAAGTTCACCAAAGTTGAACCATCACAACTGTGCCATACACTCATGGAAATGCAGAAATTTCTTCAACATACAAATTTCATTTCCTTTGTATATATACCTAGTAGTGGGATTGCTGGATCATATGGTAGTTCTATTTTTAATTTCTTGAGGAAACCCCATTCTGTTTTTCATAGCGGCTGTACTATTTTACAATTCCACCAACAGTGTGTAAGTGTATATGTTCCCTTTCCTCCACGTCCTCACTAACACTTGTTTTCTTTTGTCTTCTGACAAATAGCCATCCTAATAAGAGTAAGGAGATATCCCAAGATAATTTTGATTTGGAATTCTCTGATGATTAATGATATTAAACATTTTTTATACATCCTTTTGGCCATGTCATCTTTTGAGAAATGTGTATTAAGGTCTGCCCATTTTCAATTAGGTGGGTTTTTTGCTATTAAGTTCCTTATATAGCCTAATATTATAACCATTGTCAGATGCATAATTTGCAAATATTTTTTGAAATTTTGTAGATTATCCCTTCAATCTGTTAATAGTTTTCCTTGCTGTGCAAAATCTTTTTAGTTTGATTTAACCTCATTTGTCTATTTTTGCTTTTAATGCCTGAGCTTTTGAGATCTTATTTTACAAATTTGTGCCCAGCCCAATGTAATGAAGTGTTTCCCTATGTTTTCTTCGGTTAGTTTCATAGATTATGGTTTTACATTTATGTCTATCATCTATTTTAAGTTTATGTTTGTGTATGGTGAGAGACAGTCTAGTGTCATTCTTCTGCATGTGAATATCCCGTTTTACCATCACCAGTTATTGTCTTCAATCCGATGTGTTGTGCTTGGCGTCTTTATCGAAAATCCATTGGCTTTAGGTGCTTAAATTTATTTCTGTGCTTTCTATTTTGTTTCACTGCTCTATGTGTGTGTTTTTATGCCAGCCCCATGCTGTTTTGGTTACTATAGCTTTATAGTATATTTTGAAGTCAGGTAATGTGGTGCCTTCAGCTTTATTCATTTTTTTCAGGACTGCTTTGTCAGTTTGGGGTCTTTTACAGTTCCATGTGAATTTTAGAATTTTTTTCTGTTTCTGTGAAGAATGTCATTGGAATTTTTATAAGGATTGTAATAAATCTGTAGATCTCCTTGGGTAGTATGGTTATTTTAACAATATCAATTCTTCTAATCCTTGAACACAAGATATTGTTCCATATATTTGTGTCTTCTTCAGTTTCTTTCATCAAAGTTATATAGTTTTCAGGGTAGAAATCTTTCACCTCCTTGGTTAAGTTTATTCCTAGTTATCTTTCGTTTGTAGCTATTGTAAATGGAATTGTTTGCCTTATATCTTTTACAGATAATTCACTGCTAGCATATACAAGTGTTGCTGATTTTTGTATGTTAGTGTGCAAATAAATAGAATAACTTGACTTCTTCCTTCTCTATTACCCCAGTATTTTAAATATTATTCATTGATACACTTAATCCATAGGTTGAGGTTTTCCTGCTGAAGAGGCGATCAACATTCTTAGTTTGGGTGAGAAATAAGTATACTACATTGTGAGGCACCTCTAAGCCTTGGAAGAAGGGATATATTAATTTTGCCTGAGTCCCTGGCTGGGCAGTCTCTATTGCTTCTGCCCATTTCAGGATGTCATTTTCCATCCTTCCCATTGTATTGTGAACCACTCAATTATCATTTCAATATGTTTATTTGCAAAATCAGAAACCCAGCGTTTGTCTTTAGTTTGCAATTAAGAGCCCTGAATGTGGAATCACTGGGTCTCCAATTTCCAATGCTAGCATTTATTCAACTTATGCCAAGATCATATCCTATTTCCTTCCAGTAGATATGACATCACTTTGGATTCATAATCTCTGGTCAAAAAATTCAACTCAATTATCTAGGTATTTCCTAATTGTTTCCCACCATTAGGCACTAGAGGAGACACAGAAAAGAACTCTGAAAATGCTGACCATTTCACTGGGGATGACACATAGTGCAAGCAACTCCCTCCCTGTGAGGAGCAATAATCAACTAATTACAGATAGGAAATCATGCGTGGGAAGAGCACGCGAAGACAAAACAAGGGAAAAAAGCAGAGCTGTCTGTCTATTCCCCATTTACCTCATCAAAACTGGGATCTAAAAGTTACTGTTTGTCTTGAGGAAGACTCTTGAGGGATATTATCCCAAAGGGATGAGAAGGACCTGAATGTCCCAGGTGAGCCCAGCACAATGATTCTATTAACTGCGAAGCTTAGAGGAAGAGTTTAATCTGAAAAATACCTAAGAGCTGCTGAGTCTCCACCTGCAACTCTGCTAAAGATAAGGAAAGCCATTGGGTCTAGAAACCAGTAACTTCCTGAGATTTTTACCATCATTCAGAGGTGAGTCTCTTCAGAATCCAGCATTGGTCTTGACCAGCTAGGCAGCCACCTTAAGAACTCAGAACAATTTGTGCAGGAGTACTGGTAAGTGGGAAAGGTAGAACGGAAAGGAGAGATCAGGGATTGTCACTCAGAAACATACAATTCCCCTCTCTAGTCAAGCCCAAACCAGCCTAGGACTTGTTAACCACAGTCCAGTCTGTATCTTCAATATAGATGCCTGCTAGTTATTTAGCTCATTTCAGTTTTATTGTGGATTCTCCCTTCTGCATCTGTTTTCCCTTCTCTCTGATTTGTAAGCCAAGCTTTTCAGGAGGAAAGAGACTTCAGATCTCTGCTTCAATCTCCAATGCCTTTCAGTTTTCTGGAATTCCAGAGATAGTTTCCTCTTTTCTGGCCTCATGAATGGAAAGAAAATCTTTGAGAGACAAGTGATTTTGAAGATAGGTAGAAGAGAGGGATAAAATGAGAAGGAGACATTGTGAAGAGAGTAGAAAGAGGAACCAACGTCTCTTTGATCCCAAGCTGATATTATTTTCAATAAGTCACAACGAAAATCATACTAGCTCCAATCTCCCTTCCCTACTCCTAGATGACACCTTGTGATATCCATTTACCTTTCTGGCCATTTAAGGTTTTAAAAATGTTTAAATTTGGCTGGGCACAGTGGCTCACGCCTGTAATCCCAGCATTTTGGGAGGCCGAGAGGGGTGGATCACGAGGTCAGGAGATCGAGACCAGCCTCACGAGGTCAGGAGATCGAGACCAGCCTGGCTAACACGGTGAAACCCCGTCTCTCCTAAAAATACAAAAATTAGCGGGGCGTGGTGGCCGGCGCCTGTAGTCCCAGCTACTCGGGAGGCTGAGGCAGGAGAATGGCGTGAACCCGGGAGGCGGAGCTTGCAGTGCGTGGAGATCGCGCCACTGCACTCCAGCCTGGGCGACAGAGCGAGACTCAGGCTCAAAAAAAAAAAAAAAGTTTAAATTTGATACTGAAGATCCATTTCCAGGTATTAAAAAACCAAGTCCTGCCCAATTTTAAACTTCAGCTTCACTATCAATTCAAAGCATGGGTCCTCCCTTTTGACCTCAGATCTGATGTGTAGCTTGGGTTGTACAGCGGAAAGATGGGAGCGTATGTTCTTTCCTTGCTCCGTTGCCATAGATACTAGCAGCTGGTGCCTTATATGTGGCAGGCCTGGTGTTTCTTGAGATCATTTTGAGGTACGTCAGAGGCTACCTTTTGGAGACTGCCCTATTATGCGGTCCCCTGACAAGGACAATGAATTATGTCCCTGATCTCTTTAAGATCTCTGTTTCTTAAGAGAGCCACCTCATGGTTTCTTATTGCTACAGCCTCCTCTGCCCCGATAGGCTGTTTCTGGATTGGAATCTCAACAAGGTGACTTGACTGCAATGACCTCCTATAGCATCACGTGTCCTATGGGAAATTCACATATTTATGCCATGCCATGGGTGAAAATGCAGTATTGCCGTACTAACCACCATCTTTCCCTCTACCCCTGCCATCATGACCTGATCCAGTGACCCCTCACCTTTAGAAGTGAGAGGCAAACAGAAATCTTTAAGTGTATGTGTGCCCCCTAAATTTTCTTGAAGCTAATATGTAGCCACAGATGAAGTAAAACCCTCATTGCTCCTTCTTGTACTCATTCCTCAAAAGCACTTGTTCTGGATTAGTGGGATGAAGCACCCACACAATGGTGTACACTCCCATAGCCATTCCTAACCCTCAGTTGTGTTTACTTTCCCAGTCTCTTCACTTCCACAAGACTTGAAATTGTTTTTCTCTTAGATTTAAAGGATAAAGTTGAACAGGGGGAACAGTTTGGTCACTTTTAAGTAATTGCTGCACGTGTATATAACATCTTTAGAATATAGGGTATGCCTCACCTACGATCCTCATTTGGGAGATTGAAATTACATTTAAAACCAACTGAAAAAGTCACATTCAGAATCCTGTTAGAGTTTAAAACATGTTCATTGAGAAGTATCTGCCATATCCTGTCTTTTTCCATGACATTTTCCAAATCTCTACACTGCTGAAATACTTCCTTATTAAGTAGCACTTCCACTTAATAAGCAGAATAAACTTTATTGCCCATCAGCCAAAAGGAAGTGCTTCACTGCAATGACTGCAGTCAAATGACACCATGCTAAGTTTTCTTGTAGAATTATGAAGACTTTGTATTCCTTTCTTCAGATCAGCAGAAACATGCATCAAGGAAACCAAACCACCATCACTGAATTCATTCTCCTAGGACTCTCCAACCAGGCTGAACATCAAAACCTCCTCTTTGTGCTTTTCCTGGGTATGTACCTGGTCACTGTGGTTGGGAATGGGCTCATCATTCTGGCCATCAGCTTGGATACGTACCTTCATACCCCCATGTATCTCTTCCTTGCCAATCTATCCTTTGCTGATATTTCCTCTATTTCCAACTCAGTCCCCAAAATGCTGGTGAATATTCAAACCAACAGCCAATCCATCTCTTATGAGAGCTGCATCACACAGATATACTTTTCTATTGTGTTTGTCGTCACTGACAATTTGCTCTTGGGGACCATGGCCTACGACCGCTTTGTGGCGATCTGCCACCCTCTGAATTACATAACTCTCATGCGACCCAGGTTCTGCATTTTGCTCACTGTCATCTCGTGGCTCCTCAGTAATATTATAGCTCTGACGCACACCCTTCTGCTCATTCAATTGCTCTTCTGTGACCACAACACCCTCCCACACTTCTTCTGTGACTTGGCCCCTCTTCTCAAACTGTCCTGTTCAGGCACAATGATCAATGAGCTTGTGTTGTTTATTGTGGGTTTATCAGTTATCATCTTCCCCTTTGCACTCATCTTCTTCTCCTATGTCTGCATCATCAGAGCTGTCCTGAGAATATCATCCACACAGGGAAAGTGGAAAGCCTTCTCCACTTGTGGCTCTCACCTGACAGTTGTATTACTGTTCTACGGAACCATTGTAGGTGTGTACTTTTTCCCCTCCTCCACTCACCCTGAGGACACTGATAAGATTGGTGCTGTCCTATTCACTGTGGTGACACCCATGATGAACCCCTTCATCTACAGCTTGAGGAATAAGGATATGAAAGGTGCCCTGAGAAAGCTCATCAATAGAAAACTTTCTTCCCTTTGATGCCCTGGACATCTACATTCTTTTAGTCCACACAATCAGATAAATGATTCAACCCAGAGTGTATGGCACAGTTATGATGGTTCAACTTTTGATGAACTTGCAGATATCTGTCTCCTATTCCAACTGCTGAGGGAGTTGGAGCTTTTCCACTTAGCTCTTGTCTTGGAAACAAAACCGGTAACCACCATGGTAAGTCAAAAGAGCGACATGCATCCTTAGAGAGTAGATTGGTGGTAACCAGGGCACAGGAGAAGAGAAGTGGAGTGGAGTTGAATAGAGGTTGATTAATGGGTACAACAATGCAGTTAGATAGACTAAATAGGACCTAATGTTTGATAAATCATTATGGGGGACTATGGTAAACAACAATTTGTTATATATTTCAAAATAGCTAAAAGAGAATAATTCCAATGTTCCCAGCATAAAGAAAAGATAAATGTTTCAGGTGATGGATATCCTAATCCCCTAATTTGATTATTACACATTATATGAATATATCAAACTATCAAATGTTCCCCAAAAATATGGGGGACAATTTATCAATAAAAATACTTGTATGAATAAATAAAAAATTTACGTATAAAAAATAGAGATTAATTTTAAAACACACACCTTAATTACAATCTATATTATTATAAACTTTGATACAAATTATTTAAAACCTATATTATATCACAGGTGCATATAGTGCCTACAGTCTAGCTTTTTTAGCTTTGAAGACAATTACTACTTCTTTCTTTAATCTACATTTCTTTAGGTCAGCTTTTCTCAGAGCTGACCTAAAACTTTGACCTTTGCTTTGTTAAGGTACTATTCAGTGAGATGTTTAATGGTTGCAACAACAAAGATTCCCATGGTCAAATAATTTTTGGCAACTCTGAGTTATATGAAGCAAAATGTATTAACTGGACAACTTCCCAGAACCTTTAGTGTCATGTAAATCTCCAAGAGGGTAAGATGGTACACAGCATTTCTCAAGACTAAACTTGAGATCATTGAAATTCAATTTTTTCCATCATACAGAACCTGATTCATCACAGAGTTGTTCATGGAACTAGCATTGTACAAATATGTTTTAGGAAACATGACTCCAGATGACTTCAATTATTTCAATGGAAAACCACCGAGTTTATGTATAAAGGTATCAGTTATAGTTCGGACTCTGTCCCCAACAACTATGTAGTATATAGTAGACACTTAAAACAATGTGATACTTTTTTTTAACCGCCCAGCCTCCTGGCTTCCAACTCCAACCTACCTGCCCTGCCAAATTAAGTTTATTTTTTCCCAGCTGAAGCTGACTTCCATTCTTCTCTAAACTTGGAATCATCCAACCTATTTAAGAGGAAACGTATAATCAGCCACCTGCCTTTCTCCGTGTTATCTCCATGCTTGATGCTTCCTTTTAGTTTTCATTATAAATGTAAAACCCACCTGCTTTTGTATGGGCTACCAAATAAGCCTCTCAACAGTTCTAGCCTTCCTCAAGTACCTCAGTATCCATCCTGTTTCATCCATAGTTCCAACATGGAACATCACAGAACTCTGCCTTCATTATTCCATGTGGAGAAGTAGAAAGCGTCCTAGATTTGTAATCAAGAGACATGGAATCTGGACCAACTCTACAGCTAATTCACTGCATGTTACTAATCTCAGTTTCTTTTTTCTGTGATCTTGCAATTGGTCTAATATGAAAAAAGAAAGTTTTATAACAGCATGTATCATAAAAATCCATTTTTTGTCAAACAGAATTTGTATAAAGAGATGCCTCAGAGGAGAGCCAACAAAATATAAGTGGTCATGGCAGATTCCATTTCCCAAAAATGGCCACAATATTTCCATCCCATGTGCTCTTGAAGTACTCTACCACTTCTCCATCAAGAGGTGGAGCCCATGACCTTCACCGTTGAGCTTGGCTTTGAATACATTTTTGACCAATAGAGCACCCCATTAGTACTGTTGCATGATTTCTGAGGCTGTCTTAGAAGAGCCAATTCAGCTTTTTTATGGACTAAATGTTTGTGTCCCCTCAAAATTCATATGTTAAAATCATAACCCCCAAAGTGATGGTAGTAGAAGGTGGAGCCTTTGAAAGCTGAATACATCATGAGGATGAAGTCCTCATACATTATTAGTGCCTTTATACAGGGGATCCCAGAGAACTCTATTTCTGCCACATGGAAAATACAACAAGAAATCAGCAGTCTGAAACCAAAAGAAAGGCCTCATCAGAACCTGACCATCTCAGCTAGCACACTCATTTCAGACTTTCAGCCTCCAGAACTGTGAAAAAGAAATGTTTTTTAAGCCACCAAGCTCATGGTAATTAATCATTGCATCCCAGACAGACTAAGATACACTTTCACGTGGCTCACTGTCTTGGGACATGGACCTCTGGGGCTCTGAGTTGCTCTGGAAGAAGTCTCACTACCCTGAAGCCACCATGCTGGAGAGACCATATAGAAAGACTACACAGAATTCAAGACAGTTGTCCAAGGAGTCCCAGCTGCACTGGTCCAACAGCGTTTCAGTCTCCCCACCTAGTCACCAACATGTGAGTGAGTGAGTTTTCAGGTGATTCCAGCCTCAGCCCCAACCACAAGGCACATGAGAGCCCAAGTGAAAACTACCTAGCTAAGCCCAGTCAACCCCTAGAACCCAAAAGACAACCATAAAATGATTGTTATTGTTTTAAGTTTCTACCATTTGGAGTGGTTTGTACACAGTAATATATAACCATAACAGTGGTTTTGCTTGGATCATGGGATAAAATGATTCATATTACATTCTGTATTGCTTTAACATTTTACAGTGACTGCCATTATAGGAAGAGGGAAAAGCTTTTTTAAATTTTAATGAATATGAACTGTCTTTCCTATTCAACCACCCTGCTTAACATGGTACCAGAATTTTCTGAGTTATATAAATATTAGTTGGGTGAACTTGGGATTCCCCACCCCCCAACCTTTATTCTGGTTAGATCTAGTCCATATTTGATAGAATAAGGACCACTAGGGTTAAACGCAGGTGATTGGGTCTAAACTGGTCCCATCCCTGTTGGCCTGTGCTGAACCTCTTATCTCTGATGTGTAGGTCCACAGGAGGCTGGAAAGTAGAACTTCATCTGCAGTGAGTAACAGAAACGTTAATTTGGCCAGATTTAGACTTGCATGTACATTGAAAGTCCGCCTGAGAAAATGAATTAGGATTAGATTTGGGACACAGAACAGAATTGAGTGGGAAAATAGAAAGTCACAAACTTTTATAAAAATCCGGACAAGTCTTTGCAGAGGAAATGCGTAAATCTGTACCTAGATACTTTTATTTCCCTGAATCATTCTCCAATTTGCCATTTTCAAGAAACATTTATTGAGAACTTTCTATTTTTCAGGCTCTGAATCTGGGACTAAAAGAATGAATAATTCACAGTGTATGACCTCAGTGCACTCTTGACCTAAAAAGAAAAATTAACTTAAAAATGATTTTACATGATTTTTAAGACTTGATAAGTGAAGACAATGTTTGGTCAATAATTAATGTCATCAGATTAAGAAAACATAAATATTTTGGGCAAAGTACAGCCAACTGAATTTTACACTATTCTTGTTCTTTTGTGTTAACCGTACCTGAGAAAAGCCAATTTGTGATTTTGTGAATAAATCAACAGAAACCCATGTCATCTCACTGTAGCTAACACAAATGCAAGAGGACAGCCTAGAAACACACACAAAAAAATCTACACACTGGCTAGTAATAACTTACAAAACGTCATCTATAAAGGATCAGCAAATATTTACTTACTGATCACTAGAAATTTTTTAGTACCTATTGAGAGTCAAAATGAAATGAAGCAATGCTGTTGCTTCCTTGGCTCTTACTTCACAGTGCATAAGACAGACAATGAACATATAAATAAAGACATCATTGATATAATATGAGGTGGTAAGAAGAATTCAATGAGAGGTAAAGCAGGTATGAAGACAATGAAACACAGACTGGCTTATGATAGCAAAGGAAGTTTAGACCTTGGGGAAGGACTTTCTTAGATATTTGAGCAGAGAACTGAATAGAATAAGAGAGTGAACCATGAGATCTGGGGACACATTCCAATACAAGGGAAGAGCAGGTTTAAAATCCTTATGTGGCAACAGGTTTGGCATTCTCCATGGACAGCATTCTCCATGGCTAGGGCAGAGTGAGTAGAGAGGGTGGAAGCACATACAGTCATGGAGGTAATTAGAAACCCATCCAGGCTGAGTCTTATAGGCCATAGTAAAGAATTTTATTTTATGTAAATAAAATAAGTATTTAAAGTCATAGGGCTTGGTGACATTACCTAAGGAGTAACTAAGAGAGAGAGAGCAAGGTCAATGACAAAGCCCTGGTAAACTCTAATATTTAAGAAACAGAATAAACTAATAGTCAGGAAGACAAAGGAAGAATGTGAAAATTTGTCCAGGAAAAAAGGAGCAACTGTTTCAAATACCACAGGACCCAAACCATGACTCCTGAAATCATACTTTCTGATCTGCTCTCTTCAACTCAGACAGCTATCATCCCTAGCTATCTCTCAAGCAGTCCTGAATCCTCAGCATTGAAATCAAAATGAAACTACCTCCCTCAGAACAGATTTTTCAGAAGATGAAAAAAATTTCAAATTTCTTCTTTGCCTCTGTCTTCCTTCCACTTGCATATGTCCCTCTATATATATTCTCCTTTTAACAGAGGATTGTAAATGACTCAGAACTACAAACCTCTTTTAAAATTGGCATACAGTTTTAGGTAATACCATCTGTGACACTTTTAACCACCCTAGAATGATCAAGAACATCTTCTACTTACTGTGATAATAAAAAGAATAATATACTGTAACCAAGTGTAGTTTATCCCCAAATTACAAGAATAGTTTAACATTCAAAAATCAAAAAATGCTATCCATCACATTAATAAACAAAAACAAAACTACATTATCAGCTCAGTAGACACAGAAAATCCTAAGT